TGTCTGGCAGGAGCCTGTTTCCTGGTTCATAGAGGGCCACCGTCTGTGTCTTCATATGGTGGAAAGGGCTATGCAGCTCTCTGGGATTTATTTTATAAGGGCACTAATCTCATTCTTAAGGGCACTGCCCTGGGGACCTAACCTCTCAGTGGCCTCACTTCCTAATACCATTCACATTGATGATTAAGTTTCCACATATGAGTTTTGAAGGGACACAAATATTTAGACCACAGCAGCCACGAAGGAGGCTCACTACAACCAAGGGCTAGGTCATCTAGGCCACCTCCTCATTTAGCTTTCTGTGAGGTAGATGTCCTCTGGGGGAACATTTATATGCTACTCAAATAGCCTCAAAGACTAGCCATTTTTAGAGGTCCATCATAACTTCCCTTTAGGTGATCTTGGCACCAACCTTCCAGGTCCCTGATAATTTGACCAACCCATTAACCCCTTCCTGTGTATTTGTGTATTTCAGGAAACCTCAGCTTATCCCTTCTTTCATGTCAGTGGCCAACCAGATGTACTTCCGGAAGTTCTGTCCATGGGGAGAGTTGCCCGTGACTTGCAGAGCCATCCCAGACAGAAAATTCTTAAACCAGACCAGGCCACTATCACCCTTTTTTCTCATCAAATGGTCATAGGGGATACCCGGGGAGACCAGAGGTATGGTTTGAGGGAAAGGCGGGAAGCAGTAAGAAGTCTGACTCATCTGCTTATGCAGAGAAGAGAAGAGCTGAGAATAGATCTGAGGGTGTGAGGGGATAAAGAATAACAGCTCACCCACGTCTGTGCAGTTCTTTACCCTTAAGTTTAAGTGAAATGGTTCTTCATCAAGCTTCTTCTCACTTGGTTTAAGAAAATCCTTAGAGATATAACAGCATCAATATTACAAGCCAATAAGGCAACAAAGCAATAGCTTAGCCCTTGACATATATTTCTGACAAGTAATGTATTTCATGGTGTTTCCTAAATGTACATGAGGTAGAAGTAGATATATCCAATATCTATACTTAATTGATTTTGCCAGAAAGTCTATCTTGAAGTGTGAACTTCTGATAAATTCCTTCTGTTTGTGCCTTTTTTAAGACAAGTTCCATTTTTATGTTGTCTTTGTCAGTGACGGGGGAAATCAGATCAATTTTTTAAAGTCAGTTTTTTATATAAGCATTATTGAAACTATTGAAATCTGAGTATGGTGTTTTTAAAATAAAATGTGTTAAACTAATTTGTAATATCAGAAGTCAGGAAGGGAAGATGAAGGGGCATCTTGGGGCTGGTAATGTTGTGTTTCCTCCTCTGGGTACTGGTTATCTGAGTGAATTCTTTTTGTGAAATTACAACAAGCTGTGCTTATGATAGTTGTACTTTTCTATACACGTATTCTTCTTCAATAAAAAGAAAAAAAAATAAAAGGTGCTCCATATAATGATGACCTTTTGGCAAAAATTTCCATGAAATAGAAACTAGATGAAAAAAATTTACGAAATACTGCATAATTAGTGCATTCTTCTGGCTCAACAGCCCATCAAAAACACTTATTAAAGACCTAGAATTATTAAAGGCCTAAGAATGCAATGACTTGCATTAGATTTAGCTGATAGGCCAGTGGGAAGGACAACATATCACAGAATAATCATTTCATTCACAAAATGGAAGCACTGAATACTTACTATGTGTGAGACACTAGTCTATATGTTTGAGATTCCATGAGTAAGCAAAATATTCCATGTTCTTGTGGCACTGCTGCCTAGTGAGGAGAGACAGCCAGCCAATTAACAATAAACAATGAGTAAATTACATGATATGTTAGATGTGATAAGGGATGCTTAAGAAAAAGAGCGGGATGAGGGAGCATTGTGGGGAAGCTTGCAGTTTTAAATAGGATGTTCAGAGTGGCATCACTAAGAAGGTGGTATTTGTGCAAAGGTATAAAGGAGAAGATATTCGCCATACATGTAGCTGTGGAAGAGAATCCAGGCGGAGGGAACAGTGAGGCAGGAGAGAACCCAACAAGTTCAAGGCAAAAAGGCCAGTGTGATTCAAAGTGAGAAAAGAAAAAAGGAGTTGATGTGAGGCCCGGGAATCAATGTGGGGAAGGAGAATTCCAGGCTGCTGCAAGATTTCCATTTTTCACTTTCAATGAAATGGGACACCATTGCAGGAATTGGGCCAGAGAGTGGCATGAGCTGATAAATTTTGAAAGTATCTTGCGCTGTTTTGAGAAGAGGCTGCAGAGGAGAAATAATCCAGGTGAAAAATGATGGTAGCTTGGATTAGACTGATAGCAGTGGGCATGTAAATAATGATCAGAGTTTGAGTATATTTTGAACATTGAGCCAACAGGATTTGTTGGAGGACTGGATATGAGATTTGAGGAGAGAGAAAAGTCGCACTTGATTTTGAGGTTTTGATCCTGAACAAGGATGAAGCTGTCATTGACTCAGCTTCAGATCAGGGAGACTGTGGGCAGAGGAGGATTGGAGAGAAAGATTAGAAATTCCGTGTTGGGCACATTAGGTTTGAAATATGTGTCAGACAGTCTAATAGAGAGGACAAGTAGGGAGTTAAATAGAAGAGTTTAGAGTTTAGGATAAATGTGTGAATACAAATATAAATTTCACATCAATAGCCATAGAGATTATATTTATAAGACTAGATAACACAGAAGAGAGTATATAATAGAGACAAGAACCAAGGACTAAGGCCTGGAGCACTCCAAGAGAAGCACTCAATAATATAGAAAGAAAGAACAGCCAGTTCCATCCAGAGTATTTCAAGTCTGCAACAGGACTAGTTGACTTAACACCACTTGCCACTGTAATAATTACTTCCCAGGAAAATAAGTCCAAGGATATTTTCCAGTTTCTATGCCAAGCCATGATAATGATTAATTGCACAGTATCTGGCACATGGTAAGAGCTTCCTAATTATTACAAATTGTTGAATGAATTATTTCAGGACTGTGGGAATAAGCCAAAATCTCTTGAGACTTGAGCCTTTATTAGAGAGACCTGATTTATGAAACACATTTAGGGTCTTTTCCCTTCTTGAGCCCTCCAGGAATATTGAGGACCAGATATATCAAGGTGATTCTACCTGCAACTGAACTGGAAGCCAGCTGGCTACTCCATGCAAATCATCTGTTTTTCCTTCCTAATCAATTCTATCTGAATTGTGTGTGTGTGTGTGTGTGTGTGTGTCCTTGAATTCTATCCTTCTTCCTCAGAGCCTTTGGCCTTGCTGTTCTCTTAGTCTGGATCATCTCCCCTTTGAATAGCTCATTGTCTCTCTTTACTGAAGCTTCAGTTTAAATTCACCTCTTCAGAGAAGCCTACGACCACTGTTGATCACTAGTAATCATTGTTTGGCCTCAGCCTACACTAGTCTCTTCCACTTATCTTTCTCTTTAAACCACTTATTACCACCTGCCATTGTATTATATTTATTTGGTTGGTTGGTTATCCTCTGATTCTCCCACTAAAAGGCAGTCTCTCTGAGACAGGGATTTATTTTGTTCTTCCATCCCTAATATATAGATATAGAACAAAGCCTCGCTACTAGCAGGAAACTTGGTAAATGTTGGTTTATGAATGAATCCACTCTCTCAGGTCTGGTCCGGATACCACTTAGTTAAAAATTATGTGGATTTCCCACCATGTGGAAGGATTATTATTCAGCATAAGTAAAAGTAAAGAACACGTGATCCCAAACCCACAAAAGCCTGAAATCTGGTTGCTCTAGGTTAGACTGTTAGGCTGATAGCAGTTTACTTCCCATAATTCTATTTCCTGCCAGGCTCCCAAGAGGAGAGACAGTGCTTTGGGTGAAGAACAACCATCATTTTAGCAGAGGTTCCATGGTGTTTTCCATGAGAGTCATCTCTGGGCAAACAACATAAGCTTCTAAGTAAATTTAGTTTCTGATCTGGGATGAATAACTTGTATTTTTATCTTATAAATTGTACCCAGCAATCCTTTTCTCACCCCTAGCCCTTGAAGATTGGAGGAAATGGTGTTTCTGACTACACCAGTAACAGGATGGGAGCTTATTTTAAAGACACTTGTAGGAAAGGCTTTGGAGAAAAACTAGCTTATCGGGAGACTCCTAATTCAGGATCTTATATCCTTGATTAAACTCTGACTTTTACAATTTCCCAAAGTACACACACACATGCACACATGCACACACGCACACCAGAATTAATTGGTTCAGAATGAAACCAGCTAACACAGTGGCACATTGTGTGGAGGTTGATCTCTATTGTGACCTAACTCCATGGACTACATGGAAATACAAGAACCAAAACTAGGTATTTGTGTGACCAAAAGGTAAGGAAATTCAGAATACATAAGGCTATAAAAGGAAAAAAACAAAAAGAAGGTAAGCAATAAGTAAAGCTTTCAGAGTCTCACAGCTCAGTCTTCTGTTAGGAGGTAAAAGGTTTATTTCTGTCTCAAGCGTAGGCTTAGGCAAACCCAAGTCTTGCTCCTTGTGGTGGGCTTATGAGCAGGGTGAATGGAAAAAGGGAAATTCCTGGCAAGCTCTGGCTTGGAGATGGTATAAAAAAACCTCAGTAAGTATAGTGCATTTCCTTCTTTCCTGAATCCATACTAACTTGCCCAGTAAAACTTTCTTTAGTCCTTTACTGATTCCAAGACTTATTTTAATTTTTGCCTTTCAATTCTTATTTCCTTTCCCACAGATGGTACTGGGTAAAACAGAAGCCTGTAAAAGTAAAGCTTAAAAGACATTCTTTCCTTTTTTTGGCTTTAAAATGTTTCACATGACTAGATGATAGTCCCACCTCATCCACCCGCACTTACATTTTTCCTCTTCCCAGCATTAATAGGTCTAAACATGCAGTTAGGCAGGAAATTTAGAATAAGAAACTTTATTATTTTCTTGCCTCTTGGAGTTTTCAAAGAATATTGAAGGGTTCTGATTCCAGGTACAATGGAGTAAGTGTACTCACACCACCCTGTTTCTCCCACTGAATGCAGCTAAAAAACCTGGGCAGAATAAGTGGAGCATCTGAGGACTCTGAAAAGTAAAGAACAGCAGGCAGATTGGAGATGAAGACCAAAATGGTGAGTGTGTCATTTTTTCCCCTCCAGTTTCCTTTGAAATGAACACAAGACTGCCTGAAACCCAACATAGATACTAAGACACAGAGAGAGCTCAGGAGGGATCCTCCAATTACGGCTCGTAGAGTGCGAAAGGAATGCCTAGCACTAGGACATAAAAACAATTATTTTAAATTTTTTCCCTTTCCTCCAGTCTTTCATTTATGTTAGACCCTACTAATTACTGCAGTGGTAGCAATAACAGGAGCACACGGGAATCAAAACTGAGAAAGAGGAACATTCCTCTCCAGTTGGAGGAGCTGTGGCCCAGAGAGGGTGAGGTAAACTCCTGTGGCTTTTTCTACCTCCGTGTTCCCTCATCACTTGATCTGAGATGTGGGGACAGTTTCAGAAAGTGCACAACAAAGTAAGGCCACCAGAAGTCCAGATTTCTGACCACAGAAAAAGGTGAGAGCCCCAGGACACCAGGGGGTATAAGGAGATCACAGAGAGAAAGGAGTTCAGGATTATAGCCCTTAAAATTGTTTATGAGCTCTTGGGCTCACCCTTGATTTGGAAAGGCACAGATCTGATGCTACCCAACACAGGTATAAAGAACTGAACCAAAAGACTGTCCACTGCCCAGATCTTTGGCTTGAGACTGGGAAGGCACATACATGAGACAGATTTGAAAAGGACTACAAAGGCTTTAGAAACCAGACTGGCATTGGAATCTTAACCCACAAATGGCTGGTCAGAACTTATGAGCTGAACCCGTTGTGTCAATTACCTGCTAAAACAAAAATATAGACATTCTTTGTAGGAGTTAAACGAGACTCCACATCTTATAACATATCATTCAAAACGTCTAGAATACAATCCACAAGTGTGCAGTGTGCAAAGAACCAGGAAGATCATGACTCACTTAGTCTGGCTGACAAAGACTTGCTAGCAGAGCTATTGTAAAAATGTTCCAGCAAGTAAGGAAATAAACTCTTACATAGGTGGAATAACAGAATGCCTCAGCAAAGAAATAGAAGATTTAAAGAAGAACTGTTTGAAATGTTAGAACTGAAAAATATAACTTAAATATAACTCATTGGATAGGCTCAATAGCAGAAAAAAATCAACAAAGAAAAAAGTGTACTTGGAGACAGATCAATAGAAATTATTGTATTTGAATAACAGAGAGAAGCTGAGCACAGTGGCTCACGCCTGTAATCCCAGCACTTTTGGAGGCTGAGGTGGGTGATTATGAGATCAGGAGTACGAGACCAGCCTGGCCAACATGGTGAAACCCCGTCTCTACTAAAAATACAAAAATTAGCCAGGCGTGGTGGCACGTGCCTGTAATCCTAGCTACTCGGGAGGCTGAGGCAGGAGAATTACTTGAACTCAGGAGGCAGAGGTTGCAGTGAGCCAAGATCACACCATTGCACTCCAGCTCTGGGAGACAGAGCAAGACTCCATCTTGTAAAAAACAAAAACAAAAACAAAAACAAAACACCACTCTCATATAAAGAAAAACTAGGATAATTCACTGATAGCAGTCATATCTTAAAAGAACTGAAAGGGGTTCTTCAGACAGAAGTGAAATGATCCTAGAAGGAAATTGTGATGCAGAAGGAAAAGCAACAGACATGGCAAATATCTTGGAAAATAGGTTATTCTTCTTTTATGAATATTTTAATATATGCTTGATGGTTGAAAGCAAAAATTATAACATTGTCTGCTAGAGTTTTCAATGTATATAAACATAATCAATAAGACAACTACAACACAAAGCAGGAAGGGAAAATAAATCTGCATGGTGGTAAGGTTTCTACAGTCCATGTAGTAAAATATGGATTCTAAGTACATTTTGAAAAGTTAAGTAGATGCATTGAAATTATAAGACTCAACTAAAGCAGTGCTTAGAGGAAATTTACAGTTTCAAATCAATCATCTAAATTTTCAATTCAAGAAATTAGGGAAAAGAAGATTAAAATAATCCCAAAGGGGAAAAAAAAAACAATAAATGTAAGAGCACAATCCATGAACACAAAACAATAGAAAAGAAAAACAATAGAAAAGCCAATGAAACCAATAGCTGGTTCTTTAAAGTATGTGTGTGTGTGTGTGTGTATATATTTGTAAATATATATATATATATGTAAATATATATATATATTTGTAAATATATATATATATATATATATATTTTTTTTTTTTTTTTTTTGAGACAGAGTCTTGCTCTGTCACCCAGGCTGGAGGGCAGTGATGCGATCTTGGCTCACTGCAAGCTCCACCTCCCAGGTTCATGCCATTCTCCTGCCTCAGCCTCCCAAGCAGCTGGGACTACAGGTACCTGCCACAATGCCCGGCTAAACTTTTGTATTTTTAGTAGAGACGGGGTTTCACCGTGTTAGCCAGGATGGTCTCGATCTCCTGACCTCGTGATTCACCTGCCTCGGCCTCCCAAAGTGCTGGGATTACAGGCGTGAGCTACCATGCCCAGCCTAAAGTATGTATATTTAAAGAACCAGAACACATACACATATTTTAAAGAACCAGAATGGGCCGGGTACGGTGGCTCATGCCTGTAATCCCAGTACTTTGGGAGGCTGAGGCAGGTGGATCATCTGAGGCCGGGAGTTTGAGACCAGCCTGACCACATGGAGAAACCCCATCTCTACTAAAATCACAAAATTAGCCAGGCATGGTGGTGCATGCCTGTAACACCAGTTACTCGGTAGGCTGAGGCAGAAGAATCGCTTGAACCCAGGAGGTGGAGGTTGCAGTGAGCCGAGATTTTGCCATTACACTCTAGCCTGGGCAACAAGAGGGAAACTCTGTCTCACAAAAAGAATAAGAAGGTAAAAGAACCAGAATGATAGAGTTTAAAAAAAGTAAATACATACAGTTTAAATACTTACCAGAAATACATATAAATACATGAATAGTATAAATACCAAAATAGTGAATGCATACCATTATACAGATTGAAAAAAAGACACCAATCACCACTATCAGGTATGAAAGGGGATATCACTAGACTCCACAGACATGAAAAGGATAAGAGAATACTTTAAACGACTGTACACATATAAATTTGGCAACTTAGAAAAACTAGGCCAATTCATAAAAAACCATAAAACTACCACCACTTACCCAAGATGAAATAGATAACCTAAATAGCCCTATAACTATTAAAGGAATTAATTCCTAATTAATAACCTTCAAAAAAAGGAAATTTCCAGGTGTAGACTGTTTCACTAGTAAATGCTACCAAACATGTAAAGAAGAAAAAACACCAATTCTATAAAATCTCTTCAGAAAAGAGAAGAGGAAGAAATACTACCTACTTCATTTTAGGGGCCAGCATTACCTGATATAACAACTAAAGACAGTATAAGAAAACTACAAACCAATATTGCTCATGACAACAGATGAAAAATCCTCAATGCATTCAAATCCAAAAATATAAAAAGAATAGTATACCACACCAAATGGAATTTATATTGTGAATGCATGATCTAATGTTAAATATCAGTCAATGCAATTCACCATATTAACAGTATAAAGAATAAAAAGCAGTGGATCACAGATATACATATAAAATGTACACCTGTAAAACTTTTAGAAGAAAACAGGATAAAAATCTTCATGACTGTGGGTTAAGGAAAGAGTTTTTAGTCATGACAACAAAAGCACAATCTGTAAAGGAAGAAATTGACATGTTGGATTTCACCAGAATTAAAAACTTTTGCACTGCAAAAGACATTGTTAAGAGTGTGAAAATCAAAGCTACAGATGGAATAAAATATATGCAAATCACATTTCCAACAAAAGACTTTTATCCAGAATATATAAAGAATTCTTAAATTTCAACAAGAAAACAATCCAGTTTTTAAATGGATAAAACCTTCAATAGATACTTTACCAAAGAGGATGTATAGATGGTAAATAAAGCCATGAAAACATGTCCAACATCACTAGCCATTAGAAAATGCAAATTAAAGCCATAATTACACACCTACTACTAAGGCTAAAATAAAAAAAAAAAACAAAACAAAACTGAAATACCAAGTGGTAGCAAGAATGCTGAGCCACTGGAACTCTCAAACTTTTCTGGTGAGAATGTAAGATAATACAGGTACTCTGGAAAAAAGTTTGTCAACTTTTAAATGACGTTCAACATATATCCACCATCATATCCAGCAATCTCACCCCTTAGGTATTTAGCATAGAGAAATAAATAAGTTTACAAAATAACGCCTTATAGAGAAACGTTTATATAGTAGCTCTATTAATAATTACCACAAATGAAACAACCCAAATTCTTTCAACTGGTGAATACATTTGGTACATGTAAATAATGAAATACAATTCAACGACATAAAGAAACCAACTACTGAATCATGCAACAACTTGGGTGAATCTCAAAGGCACTAGCTGCGTGTATTAGTCTATTCTCATGCTGCTAATAAAGACATACCTGAGACTGGGTAATTTATAAAGGAAAGAGATTTAATTCACTCACATGCCACATGGCTGGGGAGGCTTCACAATGATGGCAGAAGGCAAATAAGGAGCAAAGTCACTTCTTACACGGTTACAGGCAAGAGAACTTGTGCAGGGGAACACCCACTTATCAAACCATCAGATCTTGTGAGACTTATTCACTACCCTGAGGACAGTATGGGGGAATCCACCCCCATGATTCAATTATCTCCACTTGGCCCTGCCCTTGGTATGTGGGGATTACTACAATTCAAGATGAGATTTGGGTAGGGACACAGTCAAACTATATCACTGAGTGAAAGGAGCCTGTCTCAAAAGGTTACATGCTACATGATTCCATTTATATGAAAATTTCTAAAAGACAAAACCATAGTGATAGATAACAGAGCAATGATTTGTGATCTGTTAGGAATTAGGGGTAGGAGAGGAATGGAATGGCAAAGGGATAACACGAGGGAGTTTTCTGGGGTGATTGAACTGTTCTGCATCTTGGTTGTGATGGAAGTTACATGAATTTATACACGTGTCAAAATATATAGAACTGGCCAGGTGTGGTGGCTCATGCCTGTAATCCCAGCACTTTGGGAGGCTGATGCGGGAGGATTGCTTGAGGCCAGGGGTTCAAGACCAGCCTGGGCTATGTAGCAAGACCACATGTCTACTGGCAATAAAAAATTAGCTGGTGTGGTGGCACACAGGTTGAGGAAGGAGGATTGCTTGAGCCTAAGAGGTCACGGCTAGAGTGAACTATGACTGCACTGCTGCACTCTAGCCCAGGTAACAGAGCAAGACCCTGTTCTGCACAACACCCCCAAATTATAGAAATAAACATACAGATAAGGTCAATTTTTCTGGTTTTTTGTTTGTTTGTTTGTTTGTTTTTTGAAACGGAGTCTTGTTCTGTCACTGGGTTGGAATGCGGTGGCAAGATCTCGGCTCACTGCAACCTCTGCCTCCTGGGTTCAAGCAATTCTCCTGCCTCAGCCTCCCAAGTAGCTGAGATTACAGGTGCGCACCACCAGGCCCAGCTAATTCTTGTATTTTTAGTAGAGGTGGGGTTTCACCATGTTGACCAGGCTGGTCTCAAACTCCTGACCTCAGGTGATTCACCCACCTCGGCCTCCCAAAGTTCTGGGATTACAAGTGTGAGCCACCACACCCAGCCTGTTAACTTTTTAAAATAAGACTAGAAAAACTAAAAGATTGCATAGATACTGTATATAAAACAGGCAAAAAAGCATTGTTTTATTCAATTTTTCTCTTACGTTTATCTTAGGCAATGTCCTTTCAGGTTTAACACTCCACATGTTTGTTCATTTCCCACTCCCATGAAGGCAGCCATGAAATTTGAGTCACCCAGTGTAGATGTGGATCAGATTGCTAAGGAAGAGGACAGGCTATCAGAAAGTTAATGACTTGGCCAGATGCCATCATTTAAAGGAACAAAGAGGACATTCAAACCTTAATGGAAGTATTCAGTCCATGAGACAAGAAGACATGCTTTCATTTTAATCAGCTTTTCCTGCATTATATTCCATGAGTTTGGTAGGCCAGCAAATTACCAACTTCAGGTTCTTAAGCTCACAGGAAAGAGAAACCATTACTTTTCCATGTTTTTCGGAACAGAACTCTCTGTACACAACAGAACAGTGACTCCAAGACCAAAGTAAGACTACAAGTCTGTGGATTTATTTATTTATTTATTTATTTATGGCTAGGTTGAGGCTTCCTCAAAAATTACCTCCCTTGAGCACAGTTGTTCCCAGCTCTTAGCACATAATAGATGCTTATTTTGAGCTTGTCAAATTGAATTGAATATTAGGAAGTGGCTTTGACTTGCTGGGATTATTTTTAGGATCCTTAATTCTAGACTGGGTTAGCAGTTGTGGTAAAAATAAGAGGAAGATACCTGGGTAGAAAAAAAGAGGGTCTTGGTGAGATGCTTTTCATGGTTAGAATATGGTATCCCATATCAGAAAAGGGAGAGGCATCAATTGGAATCCCATCAATGTAAGTCAGGAAAATTGGACTTGACTTCAGACCGGGGACTGGCTTTCCAGCACTCACAGAGAAGATGGTCACAGAGATAGCAGATAGTAGAGGCAGGTAGACTGGTGAGCCACCATGAGGAGCAGATGGAGGTACCGTTTGAAAATATCAGAGTTGGCTGGGTGCAGTGGCTCACACCTATAATCCCAGCACTTTGGGAGGTCAAGGCGGGAGGATCTCTTGAGGCCAGAAGTTTGAGACCAGTCTGGCCAACATGGCAAAACCCCGTCTCTACTAAAAATATAAAAATTCACTGAGTGTGGTGACCCACACCTGTAATCCCAGCTACTCAAGAGGCTGAGGCATGAGAATAGCTTGAACCCAGGAGGCGGAGTTTGCAGTGAGCTGACCACACTCCAGCCTGGGTGACAGAGCAAGACTCTGTCTCAAAAGAAAAAAAAAACACACACACACACAAAAGAAAATATCAGAGTGACCTGGGAACTTGCTTTAGCTTGGCTTGGTCAGGTTTCCACGTTACCTCAGAAAGAGCAGGGGTATTGTAAGAATACAGGTGCGTTTCTTCTGGAAACTGCTCAGGAACCAAAGAAACACCAGCTTAGACCAACACTGCCACACTTGGCTATTAGCTGCATTTTCCTCTCTCTACTCACCAGCCTTTTCTGCCTATATGTTTGCTCCTGTTAACACTGCTAAGAGGCAGATCTCTTAGTATTTTCTAGGTCCTGGGGGTTGCAGAATCTTACTGAACCCATTGTAATACGTCACTGCCTAACCAACGGAATGGTTGCCCTTGGGGTTCATCATGACTGTAGCTGGGATCACAAGGAACAAACCCAACCACAACAGATCAGGGGATAGGGATAGGGAAGTTCCCTTCACAAGGGGTGTGAGGGGCAGGGGCTGATATTTCAAGGAAGAATTCCTCTAGACTTGGGGGCTAAGGCTGATATACTTCATGATACCCTTCTTACTCATTTATATTACACTGGAGTTGAAGGGAGTGGTAAGGGCAGTGGGTTTCTTTAAGCTAGAAAGACACACTCACAAAAAATTACTATAGAACATAGCTTGTGTTGTTGGCTGGGCATGCATAGGTCCCACACAGAGATGGCATGTTGCTTTCTTGGCATTTGAGGTGCCCTGGCATTTAAGGTGCTGCATATATCTTTTGGAGAGACAGGGTGTGTTGGCTAAGAGCATGAGTTTAGGCTGCTTGAGTTTCAATGCCAGCATGGCCACTTGCTTTGTGATTCTGGTTTTCTCTTTTTTTGAAACAGGGTCTCCCTCAGTTACCCAGGCTGGAATACAGTGGCGACATAATTGTTCACTGTAGCTGCGGAGCCTTGACCTCTGTGGCTCAAACGATCCTCCCACCTCAGCCTTCCAAGTAGCAGGGACTAGAGGCATGTGCCACCATGCCCAGCTAATTTTTTTTTTAATTGGCAGTAGAGACGGTTAGTAGAGATGCTGTCTCATTGTGTTGTGCAGGCCGGTCTCTAACTCCTGAGCTCAAGCGGTCTTTCTGCCTTGGCTTCCTAAAGTTCTGGGATTACAAGCACAAGCCACTATGCCTGACCTGCTTTGTGATTTTTGAATCAATAGCTTCACCCTCTGAACTTCCGTTTTCTTAGTTATAAAATGGAGACAATTATATTTTTGTTGTTTAAAAAAAATTCCAATCATGTAACTCTACCTAAAATCCTGCATGGCTTCTCATTGCTCATAATAAAATCCCATTGAAGCCTCCACTTTGAATGATTACCTGAATTGCCCTCTCACCCTTTATTTTCATTTCTTCATGTATTGATTTACCAATCATTTGTGTGTCTGTTCTAGACGAGGCACTGATGATAGATCATTGAACCAAGCTAAGTCACTGCCACCTTACTTGACAGAAAGGTATGCAATAAATACATAGACAAATTAAAATGTACCCTAATGTTAGGGGCCATGGTTCACTCATGAAAGTATCAAGCAGACTGAGGTGGAGAGAGCTACTTTAGGTGGGGTGGCCAGGGAGGCATCCCTATAGAAGTGACATTTGAGGGGCATCTGTAGGAGGTAAGGGGGTGAGTGAGCCATGTGACCACAGGGAAACAGTGTTCTTGGCAAGATAGTGGAAGATCAAAGGCCCAGCAACAGAGGTATGGCTGGCATGTTGCTATACTTACCCGGCCAAACATCTGATGGTACAACCTGCCATTGTCATACCTACACTGATCGCCTGATCAGCCCAACGCTGTTGGAGGAACACATGCCACTGGGCCAACTGTGACACTGTAGTCTATTGTTTCATCTCCCAAATGGATTCACCTTCTATTGTTCTCAGCTCCCTCTCTCATTTGCTTGGCGGTTGTTCCAAATATTCACACCTCACTTAAACCAAAAATAAAAACAGCAAAAGCAGCAACCTTGGCTCACATTTTCTATGGTTCAGGCAATATGCTAAGTTGTTTTTCCCACATATTTATCTTATTTAATCTTCACCTCAAACATATAGGTTAAGTACTGTTATTTTATAGATAAGAAAATTGAAACTTAGAGAGGTGAAGCAACTTGACTATAGATCCCACCAGTGACTGGTGGAGCTGAGGGTCACACCAGAGCAGGGACTGTGCTGACCTAATCCGAATCCCAACCCTATCCCCATCAGCAAATTGTCTCACATCATCCCCTACTCTCCTTGCTCAGAAAACTGTCAGCACGAAAGCCTTTAGATTGCTTACATAGTTACCAAATTTCATCAACTCTGAGACTATTGATTTTAAGAAACAACATTATTTCATGTAACACCAAGAAGAAAATACTGCAGTTACACTATAAAACAATACTAAGACCATTTCTATAAAACAAGTGTTTCAAAGTGAAAATAAACTCTGTTCAACAATTGATGTACTTTTAGTACATCCAAATCCATCAAACCCTTTTCCTTCCTGTGTCAAAAGATAGAATGTCCCTCCTCAAGACTAAAATCCTCTTCCTATGTTCTTTCTTCTTTCTTTTCCTTGACCTACTTTTCCTTGATTTTTTTCTTTCTCTCCAGTGTTTTCATCTCTACTTTCCTAAGAATGAAAACATTGTCAGGTCTCTTATCTTGAAAATCACGTGCTTGACTCATCCTACATCTCCTCTAGCAAATATTCCATTTTAATTTTTCCCTTGCTATTTCTTCTTTCTTTCTGCCTGGTATTTATCTTGAGACCTATAAAAGATTTCACAAAGATAGCCGTGGTCCTAATTATATCAGATATTTTGGTCCCAATTATAAAGCCTAATATTTGTTTACGGCATCTTTGTTGTGGGCATATGTTGTTGTATTTGTTTCTTCCCAGCAAACCTTTCACTGGAGAGCAGTCTTCCCCCACACCATCCCATAGAAATACTGTTCACTGTATATGGTTCGGGAGGATTGACTCTTCCAATTCCCTTCTCCAGGAGTGGACACATGATCCAGGCCTGGCCAGAATTCTGCATCAAGGTGGGTTCTCGCTGCCTCAAGGAAATGAGGCCAACCAAAATCCTGCCCTGAATTTTTCTCTAGGAGCTCTTGGGAAAGATGTACAGTCATGTGCTGCATAACCATACCTGAGTCAATGATAGACTGCATATATGACAGTGGTCCCATATCTGATTATATCATCATATTTTTACTCTACCTTTTCTATGTGTAGATATGTTTAGACACAAAAATACCATTGTGTTACAACTGCCTACTATATTCAGCACAGTAACATGCTGTACAAGTTTGCAGCCCAGGAGCAATAGGCTATACTATATACACATCTATGATGTTTGTATGACAATGAAATCACCTACTGATGCGTTTCTCAGAATGTGTCCCCATCATTAAGTGACGCATGACTATATTCTTTCTACAAAGATTGCACTGCTGATGGTCATCTTGTTGATCATGTGGAATAGCCTAAGAGATAGGGAAAAAGTGTGGATCTTGCTTGTCATTACCTAGATCCAAAGACACCCAAGCCAGGATACTCCTAGAGTTTTCAGGCACATGAGCTAATAAATTCCCCTTTGCGTTTGCTGTTTGATTGATGTCCCTGTCACTTGCAATCAAGAGTGCTAATACAGTCTTATAGTTTTCAAAGAGCTTTCACGTACATTATTTTACATGGGCTTGTGGTTTTAGAGGACAGGGTATGTGTTTGTCTTGCTCATGACTAAATTTCTGGGACTAAGCACTGTGCTAGGCATATGAGAGTTACTAAAAAATGTTTGTTGAATGAAATGGACCACATAGATGTTATTACTTACACTTGTTTCACAAAGCTGGATACTGAGATCAGAGAGGTAGTTAGGTGGTAGAGCTGGGTGATCATGGACTAGGTGAAGAGGCTATGATGAAAGCCTAAACTGGGAGGAGGAATCATAAACAGGATGCATTTGAATTACCATATGGGGGTCATATTCATTTTAGTCTGTTTTCTAGAGTTCTATAGCAGCTCTTAACTGTATCCCAAAGGTGTCACATCAGATCTTATTACTTTTTTCTTTTTTTTTCAAGACAGGGTCTCACTCTGTCACCCAGGATGTGGTGCAGTGGCATGATCATGGTTCACTGTAGCCTAGACCTCCCAGGCTCCAGCAGTCCTCCCACCTTAGCTCTCAAGTAGCTGGGACTACAGACACATGTCACCACACCCAGCTAATTTTTATTTTTATTTTTACAAATGGGGTTTCACCATGTTTCCCAGGCTGTCTTCTTTAAAAGAATTTTCTTTAAAATTCTATGAGTGCATGTCCCCAAGCTCAGTTAATTTTTACATTTTTGAAGAGACAAGGTCTCACTATGTTGCCTAGACTTGTCTGGAACTCCTGGGCTCAAGTAATCTTCCTGCCTCAGCTTCCCAAAGTATTGGGATTATAGGTGTGAACCACTGCCCCTGACCAGATCCTGTCACTCTTTTGCTTTAAATACTCCAGTGGTTTCCCGCTACTTTCAGGAATAAAAGCTCAAATCCTCAACATATCCTACAAGGTCCTTATAATCATGCTGGCTCCTGCTTAAGACTTAGCTTCATTTCCTCCTGCCCTTCACTGTATTCTCTCTGCTCCAGTCATAATAGCCTTCTTTCCATTCCAAAGAATACAGTTCTCCGTCAACTCAAGGCCTTTGCCTAGAACACGCCTCTTCCTCCACTCTTCATCTCGTTGTTTCTTCCTAAGCATTGAGTTCTCAGCCCCCATCATTTCCTCCAGAGTCTTTTCTGAGTCTTCTTTCCCTTCTCTCATTTTATTTTAGTTTTGAGATGGAGTCTCGCACTGTTGCCCAGGTTGAAGTGCAGTGACGTGATCTCGGCTCACTGCAACCTCTGCCTCCCAGGTTCAAGCAATTCTCCCACCTCAGTCTCCTGAGTAGCTGGAATTATAGGCGCCCGTCACTATGCTTGACTAATTTTTGTATTTTTAGTAGAGACAGGGTTTCACCATGTTGGCCAGCTGGTCTCAAACTCCTGAACTCAAGTGATCCTCCTGCCTCAGTCTTCCAAATTGCTGAGATTACAGGCATGAGCCACTGAGCCTGGCCCCTACTCTCATTTTAGACCAGTCCCTTTCTATCTACCCCTATCCCTGTACTTTGATTGCATAGCACCTGGTTACCATCAGTTTACCATGATTACTGACCATAGACTCTCCTAGAGACCACCAAAATATGCTGTTGATCAAGTAAAACTTACAAATGTTTCAGAAGGGAGAAAACCCTGCTGATATCTGCAGGGTTTTGAGGCCTAGACTCAAGTAGTTTAAGGAAATCTGATTGAAACTGGGCAAAGTATTTTACATAATAATTTAGAAATGGTGAAGAGAGTGAGGTAAGAGTCTTGAGACAAATCTTGATAAATAAACAGTTGTTCGATGAGCAAGCAGTTTGCAAGTTAAGCGACGTATTGTACTGAGAAATTGGCTGTTTGAGCAGCTAAAGTTCAGATAAATTGATTTTAGGAGTTCCTAAAGCAAACAATAAACATATTCACTGGCATATAGCCTTGCCTCCCTGGGCAAGAGTTACTGGAACAAACAGTGAAGTCCTGTTGATATAAGCGGTCTTAGTTCTTATTCCTGAGTTAAGGTATGTGGGTGCAGACTGTCTCTGCATGATGTAGCTGTGTTTATGTCACTATTTCCCCAGCAGCACTTGTAGCAATTGCAACTTTTCATTTGATTAATGTCCATTTCTGCCAGTGGACTGTGTGCTCTGTGAGGGAAAGACTAACATCTGTTTTACTCATCATTTTATTCTTTATACTGGGCACAGCACCTGGTACTAATATTTATTGAATGAATGAGATAATGAACAATAGCCTGGATGGGAGGATGGGAGAAGGAATCAGAGAGTATTCTGCCTTCAGTCCTGTGTTAGAGCAGTTCCTGTAATGCCAAGGTGAGCACTGGGAGAACATGTTTAGAAGAGAGAGGTGAGAAGTTCCACTTTGGGGGAACTGAGTTTCATTTTCTTTTTCTTTCTTTTTTTTTTTTTTAATTATACTTTAAGTTCTAGGGTACATGTGCATCACGTGCAGGTTTGTTACATATGTATACTTGTGCCATGTTGGTGTGCTGCACCCATCAACTCGTCAGCACCCATCAACTCGTCATTTACATCAGGTATAACTCCCAATGCAATCCCTCCCCCCTCCCCCCTCCCCTGAGTTTCATTTTCAACAGGAAACATACATCTGGAGTTCAGGAAAGAGAAAATTGAGGGGAACTGATGCAAAATTTATAAATTTTATTTATTTAGAATGGCTTTTAAAAAGCAAGGCAATTTGGAGCTGTCAGATAGCTATCATGTTCTATTAGTCTGCTAGGGCTGCCATAAAATACCACAGACTAGGTGGCTTAAACCATAAAAATTTATTTTCTCACAGTTCTGGGGACTGGAAGTCCAAAATCAAAGTGCTGGAAAATTCAGTTTCTGGTGAGGGCTCTCTTGTTGGTTTGTGGACAGCTGCCTTCTCACTATGTTCTTATTTTCCTTTCCTCAACATGCACATGGAGAGAGAAAAGAACTGTCTGGTGTCATTTCCTCTTCTTATAAGGACACCAGTCCTATTGGATTAGGGTCCCACCCTTAAGATCTCATTTAACCTTATCTCCATAAAGGCCCTATCTCCAAATACAGTCACATTGGGGGTTAGGGCTTCAACATACACATTTGAAAAGGACATAATTCAATTCATAAGACATTGCTATGAATATAACTTTATCATAGAAAAATCCTCCCAAAAAAGCCCATGCAGATTGATAGATCCTCTTAGTTTGGCTAGGGCAAGGCTTATTAAATGTACTGTGTTGTAAAGATGATAATAAATACATACATAGCACTTTCTGTGGGCTAATCACTCTCCTAAGTGCTTTGCCTCTATTAACTCATTAAATCTCATAATGACTCTATGAGTCATTATAATAATATCCATCTACAGATAAGGGACATGAAGACTGAACAAACTGCTTGCAATCACATGAAATAGGACTGGCTACATTAACACAACTTCAGTATTTTGGGAAATTCTTGTCCAAGAAGATAAAGTTGCAAAATATTTGTTTTAAGAACATTCTGAAAATTCATTTATTTGAACAACAGACTGTTCAACTGGCCAACCCAGACTGCTTATCAAAGAGCTGTTAACTCAAGAGTCCCTTCAAAACCTATGCCTTGCTGGGTTTACCAATCCTAAATCATAAACTTGGCCTGGTCAAAGTCAAGTCCCCACATGGAAAATCCCACCCTAAACCAGACTCCCTAAACCTTATGAATATCTACCTTTGAAGTCCTTCTTCTGAGATACAACTTAGAATCTGTCAAGGCAGTGCTGTCCCTTAATGCAATAAGCAATAAACTTGGCTTTGATTGACCAACAGGTTATTTTTGTGGTCTTTTCAGGGAGTCATCAGTTAACAGAAACAAAAGATTAATGCCTTATGCCCAGTGCTTGGCTATGTGTTCACTAATTTTGTGCAAAAAAGAAGTAAGGCCTGGATTTACTCTCCAAATAGACAAGCACCCCCACTTGGGTGAAGAAAGTTAAGTTTTAGGAAATTAAAGGCAGAATTCTTTGTATCTGTATCTGTTATAGACTCAACTCAGCACTGAGCTGAACTGCATATGAGTCTAGGGTAAAGACAGAAGCAGGGTATTTAGTTGAGTATAGCCAAAAACATTATCAAAACTGCCCTGGTGAGATTAAAGATTAGAGTGGGGAAGCTCCCTGGGACTGTGAGGTACAGAGAAAAAGCACTGGATTTATTTGCAAGGGACACCCGCACCAAAAAATAAATAAAATTTAATTTTTTCTTTTTTGAGATGGAGTTTCACTCTGTCACCGAGACTGGAGTGCAATGGCCCGATCTCAGCTCACCGCAACCTCTGTCTCCTGGGTTCAAGCGATTCTCCTGCCTCAGCCTCCCGAGTAGCTGGGATTACAGGTATGCGCCACCATGCCCGGCTAATTTTTGGTTTTTTAGTAGAGACAGGGTTTTTCCATGTTGGTCAGGCTGGTCTTGAACTCCCGACCTCAGGTGATCCACCTGCCTCGGCCTCCCAAAGTGCTGGGATTACAGGCATGAGCCACCACGCCTGGGCTAAAATTTTTTTTAAAGTACTGATTTTGGATTCAGAAATGTGTTTATGTTCACC